GGTATAAAAATGATTTATCTTGCCCCAGCAAATCTTAAAAGTAAAATTAACACTCTGGAAGATGTGCCCTGTGTATTCTGTGGCTCCAAATAGTCCTCACCATATCACCCCAGCAATAATCCAATTTAAACAGCACCGTATAAAGGCATGATGCAAAGAGAGACATGGAGAAAAGACACGGAGAAAGAGTTGAAAAGAGGAAAAGAATTTGAAACGCAACAAGTATGCGTCTGAGTGATAAGCTCTCCATCTGGTCCTCAGCCAACCCCTCCCGGCCTGGCCCAGTCTGGCCACTGAGAAGTGAGTAAACATCCCTGATGTCTCTGGACAGGTGTCAGTGTGGAGGCTCCGGATAGAAAGCAAGACCCGAAACAGGAGCGAAGCCAAGTAAGGGAGAGGTGAGGGACCAAGAGCAGCCAAGTATGGTCAGATGGGAAAGACTGTGCAGGCGCCCGGAAATAGGCTTGGAAAAGGAAATGGAAGACTTGGAGGAGGCCTGATCAGCTCTTGCCCTTTCGCCTACTGAGCCCACGTGTGTTGTCTCACTTCCTCTTATCACTCTGCCTAAGAAAAATGAGGTTAAAAACATGAAATTGACCTCCTTTGACAAGGGAATTTCTTTTCCAAAGTGGCTACATCTCTGGCCATACCAGAGCCTAAGGAGGATGAGTACCACGGCTTCTTTCCCTGTCTGGATGGCAATCCACCTACTCTCTCCAAGACAGGAAACACCTCGAATCTGCACCCCTGACTTAGGTAGGTTTCTTCCCGCTGCCCCTTTTGGTAAGACAAAAGTAGCTCTGACTAACTCCCTCCTGTTCCAATATTATCAACACTGCGCTGAGCGTACCAAAGAATATTAGAGACAGGATTTGGCTATTTTCCCCCTTTCTCTACTGTAAAGCAAGATCAATGTGGGATTACAGGGATAGGAAACACTTAGGAAGGGGCTGGGAGCACAGCTCCCAGCTGAGGATCCTGGGAGGAGGAGAGGTTTGAGAGTGGAGAATAATCCCACGCTCTGAGGTCATGGGGACCTAGCCCCTTCCTGCATGGGTTGAGATCAGGCCTGAGGAATATCTGGGTTCCTTCCACAACATCTTGGATAACCAAGGTGAGAGCACGTAGCCATTAAGGTCCTGCAGTTAAGTTGAATCAGAGTCTTCTCACTGGCTCCCATTAAGGTTATGAGGGGGGACCTCCCTTCTTTCCTAGATACAAAGAGGCAAATTACAGCCTGCTGGAGATGAGCCAAAGGTCTTTCTGAGGTGACAGCAGGAAGCTAGGACTTATTTCCAGCTTTGTGGTCCCAAATGACCTTGAGGAAATGTGAATCCCAGTAGGGGAAAGGTCAGTGGAGAAGAGGTTCACTGCTAGTTTGGCCAGATTAGCTAGTGGAACTATTCCCATTGAGCTCATGTCTCTTCTCCATCCTCTGGCTGGACATGATACACGAGGCGAGATGAAGAGGATCTGCCCACCAGCCCCTTCTGCAGTCAGAAATCACTGGTGGCCTGTTTGGGTCCTGGTTTGCAGGTTGTGACCTTGAACTCTGCTGTAGGGGGTGTCCCTCTCATGCTAGTTGATGGAATTGCTGATCTTGCTACCCAAGCTGAAGCAGGTTCTTGGAAACGGCTGGCCAGAAGCCTGAGGTATCTTTAGTCTGCCTAGGCCGAAAATAAGGTGGGGAAATCCAGCCAAATGGAATGTGTTCAGCCAGAGCTCTCAGGCCATTTATTCTTACTGACGGATCAGCAGAAGCCCTACTATGTGAGAGCTAAGAGGGCTCCTAGTGGACAAATCTGGTCCAAATTTATATTTCACACATGAGGAATACTGAGGCGTGGAGACTTACATGACTTTCCCAAGGGCGCAAAGCTATGGACTAGTGACACCAGGACCACAAATAGTGTGAAACCCTGTCTCTTAAAAAAAAAATGAACTGAGGAAAAGAACTGTCTTTTCCTTAACTATAGGTGCCCAATTACCTTATTCATCTGATCCTCCAATTTTCTTTGGCCTCCACTCCCAATCTAAATTGCATGTTGCTTCTAGTTCTGCCGTTTAGCCGCCCTCAAACCACTTGAGCCACTGAGCCCGTTTGCAGACCCCTCTTAAGCTGCCTACCCGAGATGGGACAGAATCAAGGGGTGAGGGATGGAACATAGCACAGAGAAAGATAGGGCCCTCCCCTCCCCTCCCCTGCCCTGCCCTCCCCTCCCCTCCCCTTTGTAGAGACAAACTTAGGGAAGACTATTTGCCCCAAGCTGGTCTCGAACTCTTCACTTCAAGCAATCCTCCCACCTCAGCCTCCCAAAGTGGTAGGATTACAGGTGGGAGTCACCATGGCCCAGGAAAGGATTACTACCTTTCCTGGTGCTAGAGAACCCACCCTGCCTGGGGCCAGCGCAGCCCAGGCTGTACACATGCCAGCAATCTGTTCAACATAACCCCTACCAGGCGAGTAGTACCAGACCGAGCAGGGTCTCACCCCTAACCTCTCAGAGGGTCCTCCAAAGGGAAGAATAGGAACTGTGACCCTATTTACCAGGCCTTGGGCTTCAGGCCTGCCCGATAGTACCTATGGAAAGTAGGGGAAAGGTCAATGGAAACAAGTCTAGCTCATGCCTGGAACCGCTTCAGAATCTGGGAAAGCTGCTGGGTCCCGTGTCCCTGGCTTTGTCCAGCAAGGTCACCTGCAGACAGGGCAGAGTCCAAGAATGGTCTGATCTCTCTGCCACTTTGAAGTGGTGCAACTGATCCCGAGCGGTACTCCAACCTTTGTCCTCATTCCCCGGTTGCATGGGAAAAGGCTGGGTGGGTACCGGGGGACGTGGTGCCCATCTTCCTCTACTGCTGCTTTTCCAGAATCTTCTTTGTTCCCACTCTTTTAAGTTCCCAGGCTGACATTTGGTGGGCTTTAGGGGATGGCTGTGCCCCCGACGTAGACACCTTTAGTTGAGCAGATTAGGACGTGGTGTGTGTATGCAGGGAACAATGCAAAAGGAAAATTTTCAGTATCGTTTACTTTGGTTTTTGCTGATCTCCCCCAGCTATAATCACAGGGTGAAGTACAGCTGTGGGAAACCCCAGTGGCAGGTCCCCCGTCTCCTTCCTGCCACTTGATACACCTCAGGAGGACTAAAAAAGGAAAACACATCAGTCATCACAAGTTGCTCAATGACTCCGGAATGTTCTGTTTCTATTCCTGTTTCCTTCGCTGCTTCTACTCCTTTTTTCTTTTCTTAGAGGCAGGTTACAGCTTTGTTGCCCAGGCTGGAGCACAGTGGTGCAATCATAGCTCACTGCAGCCTCCAACTCCGGGGTTCAAGGGATCCTCCTGCCTCAACCTCCCTAGTAGCTGGGACTATTAAAGAGTGCCACCCACGTGCCTGTAATCCCAGCTACTCAGGAGGCTGAGGCAGGAGAATTGCCTGAACCCAGGAGGCGGAGGTTGCGGTGAGCCGAGATCGCGCCATTGCACTCCAGCCTGGGTAACGAGAGCGAAACTCCGTCTCAAAAAAAAAAAAAAAAAAAAAAAGAGTGCCACCACACTCAGCTGTTTTAAAGATTTTCAGATATTTTTGTTGCAGAGACAGGGTCTCATTTTGTTGCCTAGACTGGTTTCAAAGTCCTGGCTTCAAGCAATCCTCCTGCTTCATCCTCCCAAACTGCTGGGCTTACAGGCTTGAGCCATGGCGCCTGCCACTGCTTCTGTGTAAACACGGACACACCCAAACTAGGCTTTTACAGTGCTTTCTCTCAATGGAGTCACAGCCTTTCTTCCTTCTGTACAATGGGGTCAGACATATTCAACCTCAGATTGCCAGTCTAATCACTGGATGCTGCAGGGAATTCAGTCGGCCTGCCTGAGAACAGTTGGGGAATTTTTTGAAGGCTGTTCCATATCCCGTCTTACTTTCAAATGCTCAGTAGGGTTGCTATGATAGCATGAAGCAGGCCTCCTTATTCAGTTCCTATTCTGGACACGCAGCTTGCCCGTGACTGTTGCATGTCAAGTGGTTGGAACCAATCAGCTCATCTAACGCTTCCTCAGAAGCCAATCAGAGCCTCGGAAAGTGACCTCACACAAGGGAGCGCTGTGTGGGCGAGAATGCACCTCTCAGATCTGCGCGTGTCCCTGTCACTCCCTTCCTCCCCACCCTCCTTACTTCCTGTTAAACACCACCGCCTACCTCCCTTCCTCCAAAGAAAGGGAGAAAAGCTAACTAAATTCCACAGAGGGTAGAACCAAAAGAGAAACGCAACTCAGCCACACACTGGTTTCTGTAACTGGAGAACAGGATATTTAGGGGGCGCCCTCTGCATAGACATAGCTTTCAAAATGGCATCTCCAGGGTCTGGGGGAAGAGGGAGTATGCCGGGTCAGTCAGCCCCTCCTCCTTCCTCATACCTGGTTTTCTTGACTTTCCCCACAAAAATAGATGCAATCCTTTTTTTTCTTTCCTTTTTTTCATTTTTTTTTTTTTAAGATGGGGTTTCACCATATTGGTCAGGCTGGTCGTGAACTCCTGACCTCAGGTGATCCGCCCATCTCAGCCTCCCAAAGTGCTGGGATGACAGGCATGAGCCGCCATACCCGGCTCTTTTTTTTTTTTTTCCCTTTTATAGCTGTAATCATCCTTTGTAAATAAGGACAAGATCAAGGTCAAGTGTGGCAAAGACAGGGCCTGTGTCCTTGGGAACGTGTGAACAGTCACAATCATGTCATCAAGGCCCGAGGACCAGAGGCTCAGAAGCCAGCTGCTCTGCGGGGGACAGAGGCTGCTTCTACAACTTACTTTTCACAGCCCTACAGATGAGGTCTTGGATATTTCCTGGGGGCTGGATTGTGACCGTGTCCCCCCGTGGGGGGAGGAGGGAAGGCACGAAGGACAAGCGGGCTGTGGCCCTTCACCGTGTCACACCGGACCCTGCTCAGCTAGGCACTCCCTTCGTTCCTCCAGCCCTCCCTCACCAGGCCTCACCTAGAACAGAGAGACAGAGAAAAACACTTTATTTAAAAATATAAAACCAGTCTTACTCCTTCAAACTGCTCCCGTCCCTAATGCTCTCCACAAAGAGCTACACAAATTGGGGAGCGGTAAAGCCATCTCAGCTCTCACAACCCTAGTTCTTCTTTCAATTCTCCTTTCTCCATGCAATTGAGATATTTGTCCTTTGCACTTTCCTCAAGATATCAGAGGTGATGCAAATGTGGAAGGAGGGGAGGCAGAGAAAAGAAACTGTCATCATCCTCCAGCCCATCTCCAGGGACCGGACAGATGACGTGAACTCTGACCAAATGATTTGTTTGTCTGGAAAACCAAATAACAGGGACAGCTACTCTCTGCATCCTCAAGAAACATACAGGGGTCCGAGTCCTTCTTCAGTAGATAGCCTCATCCATATTGTCATCACTGTCACCCCCAAAGTCCTCTCCATTGTCAAAATAGGACATGATGTAATCAGTTTCCTGAAATGGAAAAAAAAAATAATTAAAAGTCAAGCCTGCTTTTGGCGTTCACCTTCCTTCCTGTGTACCAGACCCCTTTCCTCCCCGTCACACATCCCAGGCCTGAGACGTGTCTTCTAGCTGTAGTTTGGAGAAGGGACAGATGAAGTCGAGGGACGCCCCAACCCAGAGGGGAGCTCTCGCTGTTGGCATGCCAGCCCTCTGAGGGGAGCATCCCTGGTGTAAAGAGTTGAGATAGGCCGGGCGCGGTGGTTCACGCCTGTCATCCCAGCACTTTGGGAGGCCGAGGCGGGTGGATCACGAGGTCAAGAGATCGAGACCATCCTGGCCAACATGGTGAAACCCCGTCTTTACTAAAAATACAAAAAAAATTAGCTGGGCGTGGTGGCGCGTGCCTGTAATCCCAGCTACTCAGGAGGCTGAGGCAGGAGAATTGCTTGAACCCGGGAGGCAGAGGTTGCGGTGAGCCGAGATCGCGCCATCGCACTCCAGGCTGGCGCCTGGCGACAGAGTGAGACTCTGTCTCAAAAAAAAAAAACAAAAAACAGTTGAGATCCCCAGAGGTTAGGGGGTAAAGTGAGGGGGGCCAAGGTGGAAGGAGTCCCCTTCACCTCTTCATGCTCTTCCTCATCATATTCTTCTTCCTCCTCCTCTTCCTTCTCTTCTTCGTCTTCCTTCTCCTCATCTTCCTCTGAAGTGACTTCTTCCTCCTTCTTCTCCAGGGTCTCAGGTGGGGATGAAGAGGAACGAACGGAAACTCAGATTCAGTTCACAGGAGGGAAAACGGAGGCACACGCGGGCCAAGAGAGGGAACAGCTGCAGGGCTCGGGAGGGCTCTATGCACGCTTCCTCCTCACCTCTAGCTTCTGTATCGTCTCCTCCTTGTCTTCCGAGGTCTTAGGAGGCCTCTTCGGGAGAAGAATCGTAATCCCTGGTGGGGGATCGAAAGGTGAACCATCAGAGAGCAAATTTTGCCCGCTTTTGACCCCATCCTCCTGCAAAGAACATGTCACGCTGCTGCCCTCATGTGGCCACTATGGCGTCTAGCAATAACACTTGGGGGATTGGGTCGTTCCTAGAGGAACCGGGAGGGAATGTGAGACCACAGCAGCCTTGGCTCTCAGGCTGAGGGAGGAACCCTCTTTTTCCAGATACACTCACGTTCCTTCTGTAGCTTCCGCACTCGGATCTTTAGCTCCCGGGGTAGACGCCGCCAATCTGGGAATAGCGGGAATGTAAATGTCAATAGGACCCTGCCTGGGGTCTCCAACAAATGATGACTGGTTTTGTTTTTGTTTTTGTTTTTGAGACGGAGTTTCGCTCTTGTTACCCAGGCTGGAGTGCAATGGCGCGATCTCGGATCACCGCAACCTCCGCCTCCTGGGCTCAGGCAATTCTCCTGCCTCAGCCTCCTGAGTAGCTGGGATTACAGGCACGCGCCACCACGCCCAGCTAGTTTTTTGTATTTTTAGTAGAGACGGGGTTTCACCATGTTGACCAGGATGGTCTCGATCTCTCGACCTCGTGATCCACCCGCCTTGGCCTCCCAAAGTGCTGGGATTACAGGCGTGAGCCACCGCGCCCAGCCGATGACTGGTTTTAAAGGGGGTGATGGTTTCAAAGGAGAGGAAGAAAGGGGCCGGGTCCAAGCTGTTCATAATAAAACTGTGGCTTGGATATCTCCTGAGTAGTGGGAACTGTTGAATAGCTTTTCCAAGTAGAATCTGAGAGTGTTTTGGAACATAATTAAGGCTCTAGCTTGCAGATGCTGGATGAGGGAATGGGGTGGGGACATGGGGCTGATGGCAATGGCTTGAAGCATCTGCAGCACTTGAAAGAAGGGCAGTTAACGAAAGGGCCCATCACCTACCAGGGTTCCAGTCGATGGCATTGTCAACCGGACCTGACATCTGGTATTTGTCTGAATACCGCTCCACATCTGAGGGGTGGAAGGATCAAAGTTTCATCAGAGACCCAGAACAGGGTTTGCCCCTGAGAGTCCAGCCACCTCAATACTCAGCAATTATCTGTCCCCTTACCCCAAACCCAGAGCCCAGGGGGTCAGCTTCAGTGAGGACCTTATCATTCTTTTTTTTTTTTTTTTTTTAGAGACGGGGTTTCACCATGTTGGCCAGGCTGATCTCAAACTCCTGACCTCGAGTGATCCACCCGCCTTCATCTCCCAAAGTGCTGGGATTACAGGCATGAGCCACCTCGCCCAGCCTTTTTTTTAAATTTTTTTTGAGAGGGAGTCTGGCACTATCAGCTGAGCTGGAGTCCACTGGTATGATCTCAGCTCACTGCAGCCTCTGCCTCTGAGGTTCAAGCGACTCTCCTGCCTCAGCCTCCCAAGTAGCTGGGATTACAGGTGCATGCCACCACACCAGGCTAATTTTTTTTTTTTTTTTTTTTTTTTTTTGAGATGGAGTCTTGCACTGTTTCCTGGTCTGGAATGCCATGCCGCAATCTCAGCTCACTGAAACTTCCGCCTCCTGGGTTCAAGTGATTCTCCTGCCTCAGCCTCCCAAGTAGCTGAGATTCCAGGTGCCTGCCACCACACCTGGCGAATTTTTTGTATTTTCTGTAGAGATAGGGTTTCCCTATGTTGGCCAGGCTGGTCTCGAACTTCTGACCTCAGGTGATTCACTGGCCTCAGTCTCCCAAAGTGCTGGGATTGCAGGCATGAGCCACTGTGTCTGGCCAATTTTTTTTTTTTAGTGGCGAGATCTCAGCTCACTGCAAGCTCCGCCTCCCAGGTATCAAGCAATTCTTGTGCCTCAGCTTCCTGAGTAGCTGAGACCACAGGCACATGGCACTGTGCCTGGCTAATTTTCTTATTTTTAGTAGAGACAGGGTTTCACCATGTTGGCTAGGCTGGCCTCAAACTCCTGGCCTCAAGTGATCCACCCGCATCAGCCTCCCAAAATGTGGGGATTACAGGCATGAGCCACCACACCTGGCCACGATGGTTTTTTTTTTTTTTTTTTTTCCATCCCTTAGTTCAAAGGCATGGCTGTATTAAGAAAGAGTATGGTGTAGTGGAAAGTGCGGTAGGGAATAAGAAACCAGGGTCTGGGCCAGGCGTGGTGGCTCACAAGGTCAAGAGATCGAGACCATCCGGGTCAACATGGTGAAACCCTGTCCCTACTAAAAATACAAAAATTAGCTGGGCATGGTGGCACATGCCTGTAGTCCCAGCTACTCGGGAGGCTGAGGCAAGAGAATTGCTTGAACCCAGGAGGCAGAGGTTGCAGTGAGCCGAGATCGTGCCAGTGCACTCCAGCCTGGGTAACAAGAGCATCTCAAAAAAAAAAAAAAAAGAAACCAGGGTCTGTCTTCCCTTGTTGGTTGGTGGCTGTAATATTCAGATAGTTAAACATTTTGCTGGGTGTGGTGACTCATGCCTGTAATCCTAGCACTTTTGGGAGGCCAAGGCGGAATAATCTCTTGAGCTCAGAAGTTCAAGACCAGCCTAGGCAACATAAGGAGACCTCCATCTCTATTTTACAAAAAAATTTAAAATATATAATTTTTTTTTTTTTCTTTTGAGACGGAGTTTCACTCTTGTTACCCAGGCTGGAGTGCAATGGCGCGATCTCGGCTCACCGCAACCTCTGCCTCCCGGGTTCAGGCAATTCTCCTGCCTCAGCCTCCCGAGTAGCTGGGATTACAGGCACGAGCCACCATGCCCAGCTAATTTTTTGTATTTTTAGTAGAGACGGGGTTTCACCTTGTTGACCAGGATGGTCTCGATCTCTCGACCTCGTGATCCACCCGCCTTGGCCTCCCAAAGTGCTGGGATTACAGGCTTGAGCCACCGCGCCCGGCCAAAATATATAAATTTTTACAAAATACATCCCCTCACTTATACATGTAAAATGGGATTTTAGTATTTAATCACCCACCCACTAAGTACCAAGACTATTATGAGACTCAAAACAAACCATGAAAACTATAATGCATTTCAGACACGGAAGTAACTATTATCATCTCCCCAGTTAGACAGTACCCTTCTTGTGCCTCTCTGGCCCCCAGCGGTGCCGAGCACAGGGCACTGCCCGTGGAAGACACTCAGAACGTGATGCTGGCATTCCAACTGACCTCTCTTGGGGACAGCTGGCCGGATGAAGTAGGGGAGCTGTCTCATGGCTCCTCGTAGCTCTTGCTTCAATGCCAGGACATACTCCCCTTCCTCTCCCGAGGGCAGAGGGACTGGGCGAAACTCCAGGGGCTAAAGAGGCGGGGGCAGTAGTCAGTTCAGGGAGAAAAATGCTCGTACAAATCTGGGAGGACCCCTCCTCCCAATTTATTTTATTTTATTTTATTTTATTTTATTTTTTGAGACAGAGTGTCGCTCTTGTTACCCAGGCTGGAGTGCAATGGCGCGATCTCGGCTCACCGCAACCTCCGCCTCCTGGGTTCAGGCAATTCTCCTGCCTCAGCCTCCTGAGTAGCTGGGATTACAGGCACGCGCCACCACGCCCAGCTAGTTTTTTGTATTTTTAGTAGAGACGGGGTTTCACCATGTTGACCAGGCTTGTCTCGATCTCTCGACCTTGTGATCCACCCGCCTTGGCCTCCCAAAGTGCTGGGATTACAGGCTTGAGCCACCGCGCCCGGCCCTCCCAATTTAATCTAATACTCCCGCTGAGCAGAGGCCAAAAGAGAATGAGGGGAGGAACGTGTCATTTCGAAAGCTCGGGAGAAGTGCAGGCGGACACTTCTTCGTCTGCAAAACATCCCCTGTGCATTGGGAGTACAGAGACAGAGAGGGGCAAGGTGAGGCACTATCTCGGCTCACGGCAACCTCCACCTCCTGGGTTCAAGTGATTCTCCTGCCTCAGCCTCCTGAGCAGATGGGATTACAGGCATGCACTACCATGCCCGGCTCATTTTCCTATTTTTACTAGAGATGGGGTTTGGCCGTTTTGGCCAGGCTGGTCTTGAACTCCTGACCTCAGGTGATCCACCCGCCTCAGCTTCCCGAAGTGACTTTATGATGGTCTAGGAGGAACCCAGAATCATGCAGTCGGCCAGGGGCACGTGAGAGTCGGGGAAGGGAGTGAAGAGACTCACAGGGAAGAGTGGAGAGGGCTGCAGAGTGGGTGGGGGCAAAGCATCCCCCTTCCCAATGCCCACAGCCTCCATGTTGAAGGTCAGCTGGCCCCGGCCACGACCTCGGCCCCCACCCCGGCTGGCCATAGTGGAGGGGGCCTGGGTATTCAGAGATCCAGTGAGAAAACCTGATAAAGACAAAAAGAAAGAGAAAAAGAAATGTAGTCGAATGGACAGGAAGCCAAGGACAGACAAGACATTCCATCTTCTCTCCCTGGAACATGAAAAGTCAATGTCATTCAACAAATTTTGACTGAGAAGGCACAGTGTCAGACAGAGAATTTCTGGGAATATAAACATGAATGAGACATGGTCCCCCAAACAGGTCAGGTCATTACAATATAGTTTAGCACAAAAGAGAAAGTGCTGAGACTCTTGGACACAACTCTACATCCCTAGGACAATTTGATGCTTATCTCTATCTGCATTCCTTTCATCGTTGTTTTGTTTTGAGTCTCACCCTCAGGCTGGAGTGCAGTGGTGTGATCTCTGCTCACTGCAACCTCCGCCTCCCAGGTTCAAGCAATTCTCCTGCCTCCGTTTCCCAAGTAGCTGGGATTATAGGTGCCTGCCACCACACCCAGCTAATTTTTGTATTTTTATTAGAGACAGGGTTTCACCATGCTGGCCAGGCTGGTCTTGAACTCCCAACCTCAGGTGATCTGCCCACCTCAGCTTCTCAAAGTACTGGGATCACAGGCATGAGCCACTGCACCCAGACTTCATTTCCTTATTTTTATTTTTAGAGATGTTCAGTCACCCATGCTTGAGTACAATGGTACGATCACAGCTCACTGTAGCCTCGAACCCCTCGGCTGAAGTGATCCTCCTGCCTCAGCCTCCCAAAGTGTTGGGATAACAGGCACGAACCACTATGTCCAGCCACTATCTGAATTTCTACATATAACCTTTGAATTCTTTCTCTCTTTGCCCTTCCAAATCCAACCAGGCCCCAATTCAATATAATGCAATGCATTCAGCAAAACACTAATTTTTCATCTACCGTGAAAAAGATAGTGTGCCAGGCACTGGGAGAGCACAGGAATGAATCATCAACTTTATTGTCAACCAGGGGAAAAGAGACATTACAATCAAATTGATCTTTTAATTTTATTTGAGACAGGGTCTCTTTCTGTCACCCAGGCTGGAGTACAGTGGCATGATGACGGCTCACTGTAGTCTCAACCTCCTGGGCTCAAGTGATCCTCCTACCTTAACCTCCCAAGTAGCTGGAACTACCGTGTGTGCCACCATACCTGGCTTTTTTTGTTTGTTTGTCGCGGTGGCTCAAGCCTGTAATCCCAGCACTTTGGGAGGCCGAGGCGGGTGGATCACGAGGTCGAGAGATCGAGACCAACCTGGTCAACATGGTGAAACCCCGTCTCTACTAAAAATACAAAAAATTAGCTGGGCATGGTGGTGCGTGCCTATAATCCCAGCTACTCAGGAGGCTGAGGCAGGAGAATTGCCTGAACCCAGGAGGCGGATGCGGTGAGCCGAGATCGCGCCATTGCACTCCAGCCTGGGTAACAAGAGCGAAACTCCGTCTCAAAAAATAAATTAAATAAATAAATAAATAAATAAAATAAAAAAGAGATGGTGTTTCGCTATGTCAAGTGATCCACCTGTCTCAGGCTGCCGAAGTACTGGGATTACAGGCATGAGCCACTGCACAAGGCCAAACTGAGTTTTTGTTTGTTTGTTTGTTTGTTTTTGAGACAAAGTCTTGCTCTGTCGCCCAGGCTGGAGTGCAATGGTACAGTCTAGGCTCACTTAAACCTCTGCCTCCTGAGTTCAAGCAATTCACCTGCCTCAGCCTCCCGAGTAGCTGGGAGTTACAGGCACGCACTACCACACCCAGCTAATTTTTCTATTTTTAGTAGAGACAGAGTTTCACCATGTTGGCCAGGCTGGTCTCAAAGCCCTGACCTTGTGATCCGCCTACTTTGGCCTCCCAAAGTGCTAGGATTACAGGTGTGAGCCATCGCACCCAGTCAAAATGGATTTTTTTTTTTTTTTTTTTTTTTTTTGAGACGGAGTTTTGCTCTTGTTACCCAGGCTGGAGTGCAATGGCGCGATCTCGGCTCACCGCAACCTCTGCCTCCTGGGTTCAGGCAATTCTCCTGCCTCAGCCTCCTGAGTAGCTGGGATTACAGGCACGCATAACCATGCCCAGCTAATTTTTTGTATTTTTAGTAGAGACGGGGTTTCACCATGTGGACCAGGATGGTCTCGATCTCTTGACCTCGTGATCCACCCGCCTCGGCCTCCCAAAGTGCTGGGATTACAGGCTTGAGCCACCGCACCCGGCTTTTTTTTTTTTTTTTTTGAGATGAAGTCTCACTCTATCACCTAGGCTGGAGTACAGAGGTACTACCTCGGCTCACTGCAACCTCCACCTCCTGGTTCAAGCAATTCTCCTGCCTCAGCCTCCTGAATAGATGGGATTACGGGCATGCACTACCATGCCCAGCTCATTTTTGTATTTTTACTAGAGATGTGTTTTTGCCATGTTGGCCAGGCTGGTCTCAAACTCCTGACCTCAGGTGATCCACCCGCCTTGGCCTCCCAAAGTGCTGGGATTACAAGCTTGAGCCACTGCACCCGGCCCAAAATTGATCTTTTTAAATACCACTTGGAAGCAAAGAATCTTACAACTGGGAGGATCCTTAGAGGTCATCTAGTCTAAACCTCTGCGAGTGCAGGACTTCACTGGAGTGCAGTGGTGCAATCTCGGCTCACTGCAACCTCTGCCTCCCAGACTCAAGTGATCCTCCCGCCTCAGCCTCCTGAGTAGCTGGGACTACAGCTGTGCCACCAAGCCCAGTTAACGTTTGTGTTTTGTAGAGATGGGGTTTTGCCATGTCACCCAGGCTAATCTCAAACTCCTGGACTCAAGTGATCCGCCTGCTCTGCTTCCCTAAGTGCTGGGATTAAAAGGGGTGAGACACCATGCCTGACGTTACTCTGTGAATTGTGATTCAGCTTTTGGTGGCACTTCCCTAAAGAGATGGTATCCATTCTCCCCCAAGGCAGTTTGTTCCACTGTGATCAACATTGATGAATCCAAAGTTTCTCCTTCTACTAAATTTTCACTCTGCCTCTTATCACCAAACCTGAGAAACCACTCAGAGGCAGCTAGGATGGGGGAATAAAATCGCCAGATGAAAAGGAAACTTGAGAGAAATGATGCCCCAGTAGCAATGAGCACACCTAGCACTCAGATCTTGGTCTCTAAAACAATTTTCCAGTAAAAGGTACCAGGGCTCCCTGGAGTCGTAGGAAATACACAAGATGAGTCTAGAGCATCTTGAGGTACCAAAATGTAAGAAAGTGCTCAAAATCACAACCACACTCACACATTGATGGAGTTAGCCGGGCTCATGCCTGTAATCCCAGCACTTTAGGAGGCTGGAGTGGGGAGGTCGCTTGAGCCCTACGAGTTTGAGACCAGTCTGGACAACAAGGCAAAACCCCGTCTTTACAAAAAATACAAAAATTAGCCAGGTGTGGAGTTCCAGCTATTGCGAAGGATTGCTCTGGCCAGGGCGATTGATACTGCAGTGAGTCATGATTGCACCGCTGCACCCCAGCCTGGGTGGCAGAGTGAGACTCTATCTCAAACAAACAAACAAACAAAAAGCAGAAAAAAAGAAAACAGCCAGGAGTGGTAGCTGACACCTGTAATCCCAGCACTTCAGGAGGCCGAGGCAGGCGGATCTCCTGAGGTCAGGAGTTTGAGACCAGCCTGACCAATATGGAGAAACCCCGTCTCTACAAAAAATACAAAATTAGACAGGCGTGGTGGCGCATGCCTGTAATCCCAGCTACTCAAGAGACTGAGGCAGAAAAATCGCTCGAACCCGGGAGGCAGAGTTTGCGGTGAGCCGAGATCACGCCATTGCAATCCATCCCGGGCAACAAGAGCGAAACTCCATCTCAAAAAGGAAAAAGAAAAAAAATGAACGTTTTGATGAAGCTGCGTCAAAGGGACATTAAGAGCCAACTGAAAAAGCTCCCGATGTCAAAGCTGGAACAGTTTGAGGAACAAAGTAAGTAAAGTAGTATTAGATTATAACCCCAAAGTATAAGATAAATATCTGAGTCTATAGTGATATGAATAAATGCCTGCATTTGTTTATACTGGGGAGAATAAACAAATCTCTCACGTAGAATTCCAAATAAAATATGTAGACGCTCCATCCTAAAGCGAGCAGGGAAGCATGACTTCTCACTTCTTTTTTTTTCTTTTTTTTTTTGATAGTGAGTTTCACTCTTGTTGCCCAAGCTGGAGTGAAATGGCAGGATCTCAGCTCACTGTAACCTCTGCCTCCTGGATTCAAGCTATTCTCCTGCCTCAGCCTCCTGAGTACCTGGTATTAGAAGCATATGCCACCACACCTGGCTAATTTTGTATTTTTTAGTAGAGATGGGGTTTCTCCATGTTAGTCAGGCTGATCTTGAACCCCCAACCTCAGATGATCTGCCCCCTCAGCTTCCCAAAGTGCTAAGATTACAGGTGTGAGCCACCACACCTGGCTATAACTCCCCACTTCTTATGTGTGGACTGTGTACAGGCAATTTAATTCAATATAATTTAGGAAATCAGGAGGAATATCTTCACAGTGGAGAGACCAGAAAAACATGACTTCAACCAGATGATCAAGGTCAGCATCAATACTCATCAATTATGCTTTCAGTATATGCCCTTATGATAAAATGGTACTTCATTCTGTGATCATCCTCCTAAAAACCCATAAGCCCAGGTTAATAATGAGAAAAACATCAGACAAATTCCAACAGAAAGGCATCCTACATGTATACTCAACACCACAAAACTGTCAGTCATCAAAAACAGGAAAGCCTGAGAAACCTGTCACACTTGAGGAGCCTAAGGAGATGTGATAACTAAATATAATGTGGTATCCTAAATGGGATTCGGGTACAGCAACAGAGCAATAGGTAAAAACCAAAGACATGTCAAGCAAGTATGAACCTTAGTTAATAATAATATATTTAATATCTTAACCAACAGCCATTGTCTCCTCAAAATAACTAAGTATTCATTCATTAATTGTAACAAATATACTATACTAAATCTACAATGTGAATAGGGGAAACTGCACTG